GGGCTTTCTCTCAGGCTTTTTAGGTTGCTCTTGAGGCTCGTTTCCCTGCCCCAGTCAAGGGCTAAGTATTCACTTTTTTCTACACCTACCTCTCTCTCTTGCCCTCTTAGCGCTGCTCTTTCTGTGTTTCTTTCTTTTGTTTCTAAGGCTTTTTAGGTACCTATTAAGGTCGTTCACACGAGCGCCGCAAAGCGGCATCGTGTGTGTGTCAACCCCTGTTCCTAAGGGTTCTGTCAGCTACCACGGCAGGGGGCGCAGGCCCATCGTGGATACCTGTGCCAACGAAGCTGTTCCACGATGGGGGACGCGGAGATTGATCACCTCCGTGTACCTGCTGAACTTTTGTACAAGCTGTGACTCCACTTTTTCCTTGTTTGTTTCCATGGTGGTTCCACGATACTCTCCCCAAAACCTTTTTCCTTCAGCCGCCTTCAGCTGCCGCGTGTTCGTGAACTGCAGATGTGCACAAACTATTGTTGAAACACCTTCAAGTGCTCCGACCCTTTCACCTTTCGGTTCCATTACCATTTCTCCTGGGAATTGAGCTAACTGAAAACCAATGTCAGAGTGTGTGTGTAACCTTTGGAGTCACAAGGTTCCTGTTGGAATGTTTCTTTTATATTTTTGAGCAGGGGGATCACCCACGGACTTGACTGGTGATCCAACGAAGAGGGTCAAGTTCCGTGCTGATATCTGGCCTGATCAGCCAGATGCCAGACGTACCTGCAGTTTTACTTGAGAAATTTCATCGTGGGCCCTGCTTGTAGCTAGAACAAGACGTCCAGCCCTTGCATCGGTTCGTCATCGGCAGATGTGCATTGTCGCTTTGGATGTGTCGATTTGAAGTTGGAGGCTGTGCAGGTTTTGAGGAAGCTTGGACCACCGCACTTACCCCTGTCCTGGTTTCTTAGGTTTTTCACTTAGGCTGGCGTGTGGCAAGCCGCAACCAAATCAGTACGCATTTCTATAAGTGTGTGTGGTTTTGTTTAAGCTGGGTTGTGGGTCAGTGTTTTGGTCTAAATCTAAGATTTAGTTTTGAAGCTTCAAGTGTTGGTTGTGGTTAGTGGAGTTGATTGGACAGCCGCATCCACCTTGAACCTTAAACACGGTGCTTGGAAGCCAACCACGGCATGAAAGGTGAATCAATATCTCATTGGTTCAGAGCAGCGTGAGTAGAAAACTCGCATAGGCAACATAGTATATGAATGGGAGTCGCAGTATCAGACAAGGTATTTTTCAATATCACCTCTTAACTTCTTTTTGGTCCTTACTTTCCCTGTCGAGACAATCATGGCATATGGCGTATGGCGGCGAATGCGGGTACGGTCTAGTGCGTTTCCAAAGTTTGCCTTCTGCATGCCGCCCTGAGCCAGTCCTTGAGCCTCCGTCAGGCAACTGTCCCAAAGGGCTCTTCTACACCCGAGGAGGGGAAATTTGGTGAGGTGTCAGATGGGCAAGGGGTTGAGATCCGACGAAGGATCTACATAATTATCGGGTTTCAAAAGAATGAACGCATTTTGTTCCATGCCAGTGATGCAATATTGTCAATTCACACATTCTTCAATTTATTTCGTTTATATAGTGTGCAAATGTGTGCAACCTATGTTGATGTTGAGTTTCCCTAAAAAACCAGAAGCCCAATCACTAGCGCGAGCGTGAGCTATCCTGCGTCCATACTAGTAGCTACTTAAGCTACTAGCTACCTCTAGTTACTACCTACCTCTAGCGGCCTACCCCCCCAAAGAAAAAAACACACAAAACAACAAATCTAGACATTTTTGCAGATGGGATCTTTAAAGGTTCGGCTCCAAGTAGAGAGACGTCGTCCGTTTCTTTGTTGTTCCATTTCTCTGCCAGTCACTACTTTGCAGACGAAGTTGCGAGACGGGTACTTGTAGTCCACAGGAAAGAGTTTAAGACAACTGCTTGGCAGGCTTGCTTTTTTATTTTTTATTGATCCCAGTTGAATATTTTGTTTTTGATTCTATTTTTGTTTTTTTGATCCCTTACCCGTTTCTAACATTGTTCCCCAAACAGTTTACTGATGTTTACTGTTGGGGTTCTCAGTTCTCTTAGGTAAAAAGAAGCTGGCTACAGTCCCTGGCCACGCTGGTACGGTAAACGCTGTGTCCGGTTGTACTCCTGTCTCCGCCTGTTGTCCCGCTTCTGGTGTGCAGCTTGGCCGCGGCTGCCAGCTGGTCTCCAGACATTGTCCTCCTGTTGTCATCTTCTTCCACTCCTGCTGGGGCTGTGCCGGTGAACACTATGTCCGCCTGTTGTCTTCTTGTTGTCCTCTACTTGTCCATCTGTTGTCCTCTTCTTGTCCATCTTCCAGCTTGGCGCGGCTACTAGCCCATCTCTAGTCCTTGTCCTTTTGCTGTTTTCGTTTTGTCCGCTCCCTGTCCTCTTCTTGTCCTCCTGCTGTGCTCCTTTTCTCCTGTTCTTGACCTCTTCTGCCTCTTCTGTCCTTTTCTTGCCCTTCTGTTGTCCTCTTTTTTGTCCTTTGTCTTTTCCTCTTCTTGTCATCGTCTTCTCCTGCCGTGTCCTTCTGCTTGTCCAGATGGCAGCGTGGCAGCATGTAGACATGACACCATGACAACGCGCGCACGAAGCACTGTCCCCAAGCGCAATCAAACGGTCCAATGCGAGAAAGCAGCTGCACACGCAAGCAAGCCTTGTGTGGCACTCAGTGGGAAAGCGCCAGCCGGCAAGCGCGAAGACCGCAGCGCCGCAGCATGGCCCCGTGGTAGCCTGTCAGCATGTGAAACATAACAATATGCGAGCGTTCACTACAAAGCAGAAGCCAATGTCCTCTCCTAGCCTCCTGTTGTCCTCTTCTTGCGGGGTTCTCTCGTAAGAAGAAGTGGCCACAGTGTCAGGCGATGCCGGCGAGCGTCCTGTCTTCCTCTTCTCCTCCTCCTCCTCCTCTTCCTTCTTCCTTCCTCCTCCTTCTCCTCTTCTTCTTCTCCTCTTCTTGGCGTGCTCCCCTCATGTTGTCCTGTTGTCCTTCTGGCGTTCTCTTGGTGTGTTGGTGTTGCTTTCCTTCCCTCATCCTTTTGTCATCTATTGTCCTCCAAAATCTAACCATGCGTCCTTGCTGCTAGTTTCTAGTAGCTTCTTGTTCCTAGTAGCGTTGACCTCCAACCTACTTGCGATTGCCTCCATCTAATGTGTCCTTGCTACTGAAACCAGGGGCTATCTTCGTACACATCGTGCAAAGGACGGCATCCGTTCGACTCGTGGCGCTTGGACACCGCCCACCGCCAGCCTCACAGGATTCGGTTCGAGACGCTTATTGCTGGTATTTGCGAAGCCGTTTGAAGGTGCCAACGGGCTGGCGGCCGGTGGCGGTCAGTTTGTTTTGAGGCACCGAACGGCGAAGCTACGGTCCATTCTGGAATGAACTTGAAGTGAGCAGACAGAAAGACATAAGGAGGTGTTTTACAAGTTTTGGGTGTTATTGCATGTCTGTGCTATGTGTTTGTCTATAGAGTCTAGCTACAGTATCTACATTTCTACAAGTTGACATGCATATTAAACTCCATAATGAGGGAAGCGCTTCTTGGTGCCAGGGGGGGAAAATCAGCCGCCATTGCAAAGAAGGAGGCTTGAAAGACTAGACAGCCTACAGACAGGGAGTGTCGTGCCCAAGTTTGATATACCGATATACCACATCAGTATGACAGGGGCACAATTGCCATTCCATGAAATTTGGACACATGCTGACCTTTGTGACATTTGCAGATTTGACCGCTTGGAACTTCCAAGTGCGACTCACACCCATAAACCAGTGCATCTATCAATTTATTGATTTTTACAGGTTTTTCATTTGTTTGCATCATCCAGCTGCCAACAGTCATGCAGGTCGATCAATAATTCCAGCTTGAGTGGCTTAGTACAATTTTCAATTACCTCTTCTTCCACACAATGCAAAACATGTTTGGTTCAGAATGTTCTGGCAAACAACATGGTTTAGTTTACCCTGGAGGCCAACGCGGCATGGGGCAAGGAGCGATATGCACAACGCAAGTTCAAAAAGTAACAACTGTTGACACAAACATGAACGTTGACATCCTTTCTCCTAGCTACTGTATTTGATATGGGTGGTGTTGTTGTTGGAAGGAGTTGGTGTCAACAATAGGCGCTCAGGTGCCAGACCGTGTGATGCATATTTTGTTTTTTTCAGTGCAAACGAGAAACAACAATGAAGAATCCAACTTGTGCGCCTCATAATATAATCTGTGACATTATGTGACTGTACATGTCGCGTGTCTAAAGTCTCGTTTTTTTGCTTTAAATCCCTTTGCTCCTAGTAGCGTCCGATCGCTCCTAGTAGCTTCGTGGGCACCGAGGAGGATCTTTTGCAAAGCACCTTCGACCGCCTGTGTGGATCCCATGGCCCAGAGGCTCACAAAACGATATCCACCAAAAGGTTTAAACCGCCGTGTGCGAGGGTTCATGGTTCGGAACATTTGGAGAAGCCACACCTTTGTGGGGGCGTCACTTGTTTTGCTGCATTTCTTGGCAGCGTCTGTTTTCGCCTCGGCGTCAGATCCAGACAGGTGAGGTGCACAGGTCACAGGCCTCGTGTCACAGGTGGTACGAGTCTCTCCTGGATCTGCGCAGGCCTGAGAAACAAAGACAAGCGGCTGAATTGGGCAGTATTTTTTTCAAGCCCGCCCTTACTGTAATTAAGTAGGCGCCTACTTAATTAAGGGAGGTCAGCTACTAGCAGCTAGTTTACTAGCTACTTAAGCTTCTAGTAACTGGACGCAGGATAGCGCTCGCACTAATGATTTGGTTCCTAGATTTTAAGGGACACTTAACATTGATTCATTGATGTCCTTTCTTACTAGGAGGCTTGCCTTTGGGATTTAATACATCCGCTTTAACTGGTAACAGAAACCCACTGTTTTTGCCAGATTTGTTTTCAAGATGCAAAATTGGGGGAAAGAATGGGACAAAGGCACTCCGAAGAAACCATAGGAAGCCATCCAAGCTCTTTAAGGCTTAGTCGTAGCTGCATGACATAGCCAGGTGCGGCACTTCCAGCGCTTGCAGGTGCGCATACGATGCAAAGGGTGTTTTGAGGGACTGCGATGCAACGGGTTTACCAACTCTTACCACGTGAGGTATTGTCAAAAAATCCAGGGTGTGCCAGGGCGGGTAATTCGCAGAAGAGCAACAAACTTTAGGCTTCGACTGGTATGAACCATTCTCACCGAGTTTGGAACATATAGATTGAAAAAATATGAAAACATGCTTCAAATGCTTTACAGAGCCAGGGACTCGATGACGCAGAAACTTACCAAGCAGCAAGGTGCAGCGTCTAGATGGCAAATGGGTGACTTCACACTTCTCGAGGTGCACTAGGGGGACTTGAGAGTTCGACAGATCAGCTTGAGAGTTCACTCTGTTTCGACAGATCATGCTTTCCTCTACTAAATAGCGGCAAGTAGAACCCATGAACCACCTGTAGCCCTCACACAAAAATATGTGGAACCCACACTTGCTTCTTACTCAGTGTCACCACAGAGACATTCAGCGTCGATGCGAGTTGTAGGGAAGACCGCATTATGCTGACCATGGCCGCTGTAACGGATGCCTGTGACATCTTCAAGCTGATCAATGATGGCTATGTGGTGGATGTGCTGCCATGCAAAGGCGTCTTGATTGCACGTTGTCAATTTGGCAGGGGAAGCTTCTCCGTGTGTATCGTGTGCTTCAGGCAGCGGGGAACAGAACCAAGAGGGCCAGGTGCGGAGTGAGAGAATTTGCGCGCGGACATCAGATTTTTCTCAAAGGCAAAGCTGTGCGTTCCAACCCCAACTGACAGTGCCGCTTGTCATCAAATCACAGGCATAGATTTGGTTGCGGTTGCTGGTGTCACCAGGCTTGCGCCTTGCAGCTGGCGTGGAGAAGGCCTGGTGCAGGTCGATTATATAGTGTTCTTTGTATGTGGGACACTGGCGGTTCAAGTGCTGGAAACACTCAAATCAGCAAAACGCGCCGTAATGCAGTGTCGACGGTCTTTTTTGGAGAAAAAAACACAGGAATTGCGGGAATTTTGGCAAGCTGGTTCTTCCCATACTTTGAGTATTAGACCTGCAGGCTTTCTTTCTGAAATCCGCAAAGTCAGATAACACATTTATTTGGACACGTAGGGCAGGAAGAAAAGGCTCTCCTAAGAATTCTGCAACACTAAAGTAACTTTTCACATATATGGATATATAATATATATATATATGTGTATTTTGTTTATCTTATTACATTACAAAAGGATGTCTAACTCCATGGCACTCAGGCACATGGGTGCCGCCATCGCTTTGCCTGCACTTCTTGGGATGGGTGCGCAGGTGCTGTTGCGCTTTCCGAACCGACCGAACTCGGAAGCTCGGAGTGTCGAGCTCCACTCTGAGCCGAGAGAGAGTTTTTAACTCACCATCTCCTTCATCTCCTTGCGTACGCGTAACCCCCCCGTTTGCGCGCTTTGGCATCTTTGGTCCCTTGCGCTTGCGCGTTGACAGAGGTGGCTGTTGCGTGGGCTTCTGAAGATTGGTGGGCTGAGATTCTGTTGGGATATGCCAAGGCCCCAGGCAGAGACGAATGCGACCACCTGACAGAGACGAATGCGACCTTTGTTTCCACGCGAAGCAAAAGACTACGAATCTTGAAAGAGAACATTCACTTGCCTGCTTTACTTGCTTAATATTTTTCATACACGGACATGCAGCTTTTTGCCTCAATGCCGCTGGAGGCCTGTTTGACATCTCTGTGGTTCAGTATTGCACTGGCAGTGCGGGCTTCAGCCTTCCTTTTTTGTTTACTGATGTGAGGCCCTTTTTGCATGGATGGATGGATGGATGGATGGATGGATGGATGGATGGATGGATG